TATGATTTATATTAAAATTAAAAAAAACTCTCTATATAGACATTGCCCTATCCTTCTAATATATTTTAAACTTAATTTGGAATCTGTATCTCTGTTCTTTAAAGAGTTATTTTCATTCAAGTTTACTATTAAAAAAAAGATCAATGAAAAATCCTTAATAAAAATTTATATATGTGATTGACTATGTTTGTAAATCATATGATGTGGGACACCCCAATGACTTCTGGTCTCACAGAAGAAAATAACAGATAATTAACATTCTAATATAAAACTCTGATAGAATCATTATTTTTATTAAATAAAATTAAACGTTAAAAGCAATGCAACATGATGAATTTGCATAAAGGAGTAATTTTCTTATATATAGTTAGTAAAAAAAATAAAATGACAAGGAAATTATGAAACAATCCTTTTACTATTATTATTATTTCAGTCAGGTATTTTATCAAATATGGAAATCGATTCTGGAAAAATCTGAACCCCCTCATTGATCAATTCATATATGTTGCAAATGAGTTTATATACTTCCATAATATGTAATCAAAAGAGTATAGGGACATTCAGTATGGTATAACTCTTGCAGAATGTATAGTATTGTATTGTATAAGTGTTGTATACCAATACATGCTTCCCTTCACACCTGCCAAAAAAGGATTTAGAATAAAATTTTGTGTGACTTGGGATGGAAAAATATGGGCTACACCATACGTTCTGCAAGAGTTATACCATACTGAATCTCTCCCTACCATTGGAAAAGAGGATTCAATTGGAAGAGAAACTCTATGAAGCTGTACTTAAAAGGAAACAAATGGAAAGAGAATAAATGTGTTTTGTAATCATATAAAATTTTTTTTTAATATCATCACTAGTCCTGAAAATAATAATAATGCTTGAATAAAATCTTTATTTTATTTATAATAATAAACATTATTTTGAATAGAAACCCAAACTAAGAAGTGTTAAGATTACAAGAATCTGATATAGTATTTTTATTGTGTAATTTCAGTCAAGTATTTTACCAAATTTGGAAATCGAATCTAGAAAAATTGGAACCCCCTTGTTGATCAATTCATATATGTT